ATGCAGAGACTTGGCTAACTAGTGTACAAGTCAGTGTTTTGATCCTCTGACTATCACAAGAGCATGGCACCAATTCAACCACCCCGGGGGAACGAAAGAGTTGCTTGGCCCCTTGCAAAATCATTTTCAAAGGTGCGCTCCGCGAGCGAAGTGTTCTTCCATACCGATGTGCATTCCCAGGCTGATTTATACTGATCATTGAATCGAATAAGATAACATTATTCCAAATTTTTCGTTTCTTCTTTGCGGAGTCAAGATTTCAAACAAAAAGAGCATTCGTTATGTTGCGTATTTTATGCATGCATGAGAGCTTCCGGAGTAGACCACTTTTCTTTAGAAGTGGTTAGATAAACATACTTACGCAAGTTGTGGTCGCAGGCCCAACCCGTAGGGCACATTAGTTTGAGGGAGAAAGAAAAGCGATAACTTGGCTTATTCCGACTGTAACTACCAAATGCAAAAATGTCTGGCTGCCCTGTTGAAGGCAGGCTTCACATTAATAAGCTCAGATAGTGGAGAGAAGTTGCCAAGCAACTAGTCACTAGAGAGAAAATTTAAAATGCAACGTTAGAAGCGCTCCCAATAGGACGCCTCTTCAAGCAATTATATGGGTACAGGACAAAAAGATCACGTATAGGAACGAATCTACTCGACTAATTTCCAATATTGAGCCATACGATCCCAGAACCGACAATGGAGCATTTATGCTACTTGTCCGGTAGCATCGCTTTGTTGACATCGAAAGCGGGGTCCGGAGGTGGAGTCACTGGGGGAAGGGAGGTGTCGCTGAGGCAACTTTAGGCCTTGGCGTCCTTACCATGCAACTTTCCGCTGTGACTCTTGCGGGGTTGTGCAGCACCGGGCCTATGTGGGCCACCATACGTTTCCCACGCAATCTTTCAGATTTTCATAGGCCACTGCGGACCGTCCCTTCAAAGAATTTTCAAGGTAGGATATCTGCAGTATGATACGGCTTTTCGTTGAATAAACGGAGCAATGAGCGGCTTTCGGATCCGATTAGTTTATTATCACAATAATATCAGAATATATATAGTAATTCGGCCATGAAATACATGTGTCCAATTTAGGATTTATCACCAACGAGAGTGAGTGGGTACGGCTCAATTCTGGGCTGTCTTGCGAAGAGCTCGCAATCCGCCAGCATTCCTGATCTCGGCCATCAGGCTGTCTCGAACGTCCATTTGTGCGGCGGGTTTTTCCACCTGCAGATTATGAACATGGGAGAAAGGAACGCTCAAACCTGATGAGCTACTTACTGTTCCAGCCGGTTTGAGTTTAGTCTTCTGCTGTTCCAGATCTCGCATTGAAATCAACGAAGTGGAATGGGGAAGTGGAGGAGCCGGTGGTGGACCTCTAAAAGTGTTCTTTGTAAGTCACACAGCCTCAGTGGTAAAATAACGGAGTGATAGGTAAAGGGCAACTTGTAACAAATGGACCTAGTCCGTAGGAAGAATAGAAAACAGCGAGGCCTTTTCTCCTCGAGCTCTGATGGTAAAAGGAAAAAAGCAGTACTGACCCTAGTGAAGAGGCTGAAGGCGGACGCGGAGGAGAGGCAAGTAGAGCGGGAGGAGGTGGTGGAGGCGGAGGTGGTGGAGTAAGTGGAGGAAGTTGAGCGAAAACTGTCGCTTCCTGGACTGATGTCTGCTGGTTGCTAGTCGTTCGAGATGGCTCCTTAAACAATTGCTGTTATTTCTCCATATGCGATGAAAAGCGTTGCCATCTTTGTGCCTGCGACAGAGCTGAGACGCGCGCGTTAGCGTAGCGGTTCTGCTGTGATGTATGCAAAAAGGATTAGCTGTACATATGTTGAATATATAACATAACAATGGGTCACTCCAAGAAACTCACAGTATTATTTCCTGAGCTAGGGTCGAGCACTTTGCCGAGCGTGATTCCTCGTTTCTCCACGGGTGTTCCAACTTTTTTGAGTGCGGGAAGGCCTTGTTTGAGCGTTTTCGAGATATTATTAGTAATTTCCCCATTTTCAGATCTGGACGGCAGTGGAGCTCTTGTTTGGTGCGACGGTAGCCTTTGGAGAGTTCTGTGAGTTTGTCGAACGTTGAACTGATGAGGAACTATCCGTTTGCGATTTCAGTATTTTATTAGCCGCTTTCTGGCCCAAGGTCTGTTGCCGGACGGCCTCTTTAACTTTCCGAATGTTTGAGTCAGCGTTCGGAGTTAGCGGCGGTGTCGGGCTTGCGGGAGGTTGAGATGGAAAAGATCGTAGACCTGTTGGTGGTCGTTTCGCAGGCACAGGGTCTACTGAAATGGCGGAGAGTTGTGCATGAAGAGACTGGGTCGATTTGCTGATGATTCTTCCCACTGGGGAGAATTGTTTATGAAGGTCGTTGCTGGATGTGGACAGGGAGCTGTTGCTCAATGGCGGAATATATGGCCGTGATGTCTTAGGCCTCTCGGTTTTTTGTTGTGAAATGTTGGGGAGACGATCTCGAGGGAGAAGGGACGAAGTAGACCCGCTCCAGGTCCCATACAAGATTTCATTGAAATGCGTCGTGCTTGGCGGGACGTAATTATACCTTTTTTGGACGACCGGTGGAGAAACTATGGGCGAATTACGCCCCATGTTGGCCAAACTGGTACTCGTTGCACTCGATCCATTTCGAATCGAATTGTTGTTACCATCTGAGGATAGTCGTTGATGCGAAGTCTTCTGAGCGCTTGATCGAGTCAACGCAGTTTCGATTCCGTTGGATCTCGGGGACAATGGGGATTCCACTCGTCTCGGGAGAGAAGGACGGACTGCTGACTTCGGTGACGGCGATGTCATTGTGCCATTGGCTTCGCGAAGCTCATACTCCTTTCGCTTCAGTTCGTTGGCCTCCTCTATGATGCGCAGTGTAGCGCGATCTTGCTCCTCTTTCCTCGCCGATGCATCTGATGAAGGCACCTTCTGCGTTCTCGGAGACATCTGGTGCTTCCTCGCCGCATCGTCCGCTCGTCGAACTGCTGGGGCGGGAGAATGGCCTGAAAGCAGCGAGTTCAGCAATTTGGTTTTACCCGGAGCTTTTCTTCTTAATTTTTGTTCATTTTTTCCGAGGCAATTTTTTGAAGGATGCAGAATTTTTCAATTTGTTCAACACTTCCACGTCTTTGTAGACGGTCAAGGTTTGCTCAGTTTTCATGTAAGGTGCGTTCTTGGTTTTTCGATGTCTTGAGCGTTTTAAGAGGTAAGGAAGATAGGTATTGACGAGCATTTCGAGAAGAGCCCTAGCGTTTCGAGCGTTCCGAGCTCCTCGAGCGGTGATCGATTCCTATACTTCCTCTGTCGCCCAAAGCCCTCGAAACGTAAGACACCCCTTCACCAATACTCGTTAAAGGCCTAGGGCACGATAATTTGGTACTCAGCTTGAAATGATGTGTTGCAACATGCAGCGCTATAAGGGCACCTTCTTTGGAAAAGGCTCCACACAGCGCCTGGTTAGGGCGTGTGTGGAGTGTGTTAGGGAGCGCCAAAATCTATCCTGCTAGGCGTAATTAATCCTACCCGTCTTGAGGAATGGAAAGCCTTGGTGAAAAAAGCGCACCCGACAAAAGTTGGACAAAAACGCTAGGAAAAAGTAGAATAAAATAGCCTTAACATCATGAAAAATATACGCCTCCAAGTAGAGAACATAAATGACGCTGTGAGCGTTGGCAAAAACGAAACCGCTTATTCAACATGTCGAGTGAAAGCCCGCAGTCTGAGCGAGCGAGACCACCACTAGATTAGTATCAACTCAGTGGTGCGCTCGTAGGACAACTATCCGGCCTTTTTGTGAACTTCAGTTTCCGAGAAATAATTCACTATGGATACTGAAACTGCCTAATACGGCTAACTCAATTATAAGCAGAGAGGACAAATGACTGGAAAAAGAGCACATTCTAAAACGCAGATGGCCCCTCAATGAACTGAGTAAAGGGAGAATTCCTTTTTCCTTGTAGATCTGGAAGGGCTTCTGGCAAGCGCGGTTCCTTTGCGTTACCACTTGTGCTTTAAGGTGTTGCACCTGGACAGTTGTGCTGTGAAGGCGGCCCATAGTCCTGTTTACTTAAAAATGGCCTTCGTTAGGCGCTTCGTGAGAGAGTCCGGATCAACGCAAGTAAAAAACTGCGTCCACTCCATTGAAAAACGAACCGCGGAGTACGGCATCACAGCAGATCCCCACTCTTGCGGCTCGAAATCGATTGTTGACGAGGGCGGAGTCAACAGAGCCGGGCTGACGCCTCCTGTCCTGTTAATCCCGCCCCGACTGGTTGACAGTTATCAATGCTTGCTGGCATTGATATACGCTGAATTTCTAGAGTTCCGGCGGCGACGTGTATTGGAGAACTCACCAGAAGTTTGCGAAACTCGTCCACATGCCTTAAATTTCATAGGGTCTTATTTCACGCTCTTCCACACCTTTTTC